TAGTACTAGTAGTGGTAGGAGGAGGAGTAGTAGTAGTAGCGGTAGTAGTAGCAGTAGCAGAGTCTGCGTACTATGAACAGGAACACTGTCAGTATTTCGTAGGCAGTACTTAGAGATAGCTATTGCATCGGCACTGTGGTAGGAGTGGTCGTCCTCGTCCTCCTCGTGTCGCATCGCAGTCGCAGCCGGCGCAGCAGCAGCAGCCGCAGCAGTAGCAGGAAGTAGTAGTAGTAGTCGTCGTCGTCGTTCTCGTCGTGCAGTCGCAGCAGCAGCAGCAGCAGCAACAGCAGCAGCCGGAACAGCAGTACTTATTCTCCCCAGCCCCCACCCACACCCCTGCCTGCCGCAGGCCCGGGGCAAAAACGAATTTGTGTCTGAGACTAGTTCGTTTTCGCCTTTGCCCAACTTTAGTCTTGACACGGTTCTGACACAAATGGGCATGGGTGGGTGTGGGGAGGTTTGCGGGGTTCGGGTGGGTTTGGGTGGGTTCGCGGGTTTGGAGTTTGAGCTGGTCCTTGGTCACACAAAATCTCGATTCCGGATGGGGAAACGGCCCAAATGACACCTCCGGGAATTGAGCCGACGGCTTTTGCCAGGGGGCGATCATTACCCGCCTTGTCTGACATGCGGGCTTCGGGTATCTGGGTCTTCTCAAACTCCTCCAGCCCCCAACCCCACCCACACCCTGCCTGCTGCTGCGCCGGGGGAAGAAAAAAAGAGTGTCAGACACCAATTCGTTTGGCCCCGGAGCAGCGGCAGGCTGCGGTGGGGGTGGGGAATTAGTGTCAGACACTAATTCGTTTGTGCCCCGGGGCATTGGCAGGCTTGGGTGGGGGTGGTGGCAGGGGGTGCATGGGCAAAGGCAAAAACGAGTTAGTGTCAGACACTGATTCGTTTTTGCCCCCGGGAAGCGGCAGGCGGGGGTGGGGGTGGGGTTGCACCAACCGCCAAAATCAGAACCCTGTCCCCCTAAAGTTCCGGTGTTTTCATAACAAGCCAAGCCCCAACGAAGCCACTTCCACCCAACAAAAAATAAGAACCTGATCCCAAAAGCTAGTGTACCCACTGTTCTTGATTTTGAAGCAACTTGAATTTTGTGAATCTCGCCGGGGGTAGGGGCTCAGGTTCTTGAACAGTGGGTTCTTATGCAGGACGTAGTAGTAGTAGTAGTAGTAGTAGTAGTGGTAGTGGTAGTGGTAGTGGTAGTGGTAGTGGTAGTGGTAGTAGTAGTAGTAGTAGTACTAGGAGGAGTAGTAGTAGTA